TGGGGCTGGAGAGATGGTTCAGCAGTTAAGAACACTGGTTGTTCTTGCAGATCCCAAGGTCAGGACCTGCCTGGATTATAGAGTAAGGTTGAGGCCACCCTGGGCAATTTCATGAGACCCTGTGTCAAAGAGTAAAAAAAGAGGCTGGTGCTAGGTGTGTTTTGCAAAGCTTTATTTCTAGCACTCAGGAGGCAGAAGCAGGCTGATCTCTATGAATTCCAGGCCAGCCTGGTCTATATTGTGAGTTACAGGCTAGCCAGATTACATAGAGAGACCCTATCTCAAAACAAACAGAAGAACTGTGCTGTAATTTTTGTCAGTCTTCACTTTTGGTTGCTTTGTTCTCTGACAGCTTAGTTTTTGCTTTGTTATTTCCTTTTTATTTGTTGCTCTTGTTCTTTTCTAGCTTATTGAGCACTTAGCTCTTGTGGGGTGGTTGTTTATTTGTTTTGTTTGTTTTTTGACAGGGTCTCATGTAGCCCAGGCTGGCCTCAAACTTGGTATGTACTCAAGGACTACCTAGAACTGCTAGACCTCTTGCCTCTACCTCCCAAGAGCTGGGATCACAGGCAGGCACCATCATGCCTGACTTCAAGCAGTGCAGGGGATGGAACCAACCCAGGGCATCATGTATCCTAGGCAAGCATTCTATCAACTGAACCACAGCCCAGCCTTTGTGTTTCTGTGTGTACCTGTGTAGGTGTGTGCTTGCGCAGGTGGAGGCCAGAGGTCAACATCAGGTATCTTCTGCAGTTGCACTCAACATTTTTTTTTAAAGATTTACTTATTTTTATTTTATGTGTATTAGTGTTTGCCTGCATGTATATAATTGCACCACATACATGCCTTCCCATGGAAGCCAGAAGAGGGCATCAGATCCCCCTGGAACTGGAGTTACAGATGGTTGTGGGTGCTGGAACTGAATCTAGTTCTCTGCAAGAACAGCCAGTGCTTTTAACCATTGAGCCATCTCTCCAGCCCCCTCCCCCACCCTTTTTTTTTTTGGTCTTTTTGAGACAGAGTCTCCCTGTAGCTCCAGCTGACTTGGAACTCCCTATGTAGTCCAGGCTGGCCTTGAACTCACAGAGGTCCACCTGTCTCTGCCTCCTGAGTGCTGGGATTAAAGGTGTGCACCACCATACCCAGGCTCAACCTTACTTTTTGAGACAGGGTCTATCACTGAACCTAGAGATCACTGATTGGCCAGGCTAGCTGGCCAGGAAGCCTCAGGATTTACCTCTGTCTTCCTGTCTCCCATCTTCCAAGCCCTGAGGTTCCAGGTATATGCTGCCACACCTAACTTACATGTGTGCTGGGCTTCTGAGCTCAAGTCCATATGCTTGTGTAGCAAGCACTTTACCAGCTGAACCATCTCTCCAGCCTGTAGCTCCTTTTAAAAATGGTTTTTCACTGGGCATGGTGATGTATGCTTTTAATCCCAGCACTTGGGAGGCAGAGGCAGGCAGATCTCTGTGAGTTCAAGGCCAGCCTGGTGTACATAATGAATTAGGGGCCAGCTAGGGCTACAGAGAGACCCTGTCTCAAAAAGATCAAAGACAAAAATGTTTTTTCTGAGTTTTAATGCATGTAACTTCTTTGGTATCTAATCCAGTTGTCTCGCCAGCTGAATGTCAGAGTGTCTGTGACAGTGTTACTGTCACAGCTTGTTAGGAAGTCGATCTTTGATGCCTTCCTAACCCCATCCCTATTTTCTGAGCTGCGTTTGAGTTTTAGAGATGTAATGTTTTGATACTGGACTAACAGTATGGTTCTTGCCACGAATGTATGAGATCCTAAATTTAATCCCCAATGGCAAAAATAAATAAAAACAAAATCAGATGTGAACATTCAAAAATAGTAATAATGTGTTTATACTTTTTTTTTTTTTTAATGTGTATGAGTATATTGCCTGCATGTATGTGAGTGCACCTGTCGTGCAATGCTGCGGAGGTCAGAAGAGGGCTTCGGATTCCCCTGGAACTGGAGTTAAGGACAGTTCGTAGCCACCATGTGGGTGCTGGGAATCGAACCCGGGTCCTCTGCAAGAGCAGTCCGTGCTCTTAACTGCTGAGCCATCTCTCCAGCCCCAGGTGTGTTTATATTTTTTGACATAGAATGAATAGAGTTCTTTTTTCCTTCAAAATTATCTGAGTAATTCAGAAGTTGAGCATTATGGCTTTGTTCTTAGTACTAATAAACATAACTGTAACTAATTTAAAGTTATAGGTCCAAAAGCTGGGGAGCAATTAGGTGAATCATGTGGAATATTAGCAATTACTAAAAAGCATGCTTATGTTGGTAAGTGGTGAAGCATTTACAGTTAAACTAAAATTAGGTCGGCATGGCTGGCAAGATGACTCAGCAGCTAAAGGTACTTGCTGCCAAGCCTGATGACCTAAGTTTAATCCCTGAACCTACATGATGGAAGGAGATAACTGACTCCCAAAAACTGTCTTGTTTTATGTCCACACATGATCGCACATTAATGCGTACAAAATAAATAAAAAGTAAATGTAAGTTTAAAATTAGATCTGCATATGAAAATTAAAAAGGCAAAAATTTATAATATAGGTGATCTATTACAAGGCTAGGATTGTGAGTTACTAACAGTCTAACTTGTCCCAAGATATGGACAGAGTGGACTGCACGTGTGAGACTGGCTGGACTCAGCATTTGAGTTGGAATGGCCCAGCTGGCCTGGAGCTTGCTATGTAGACCAGGCTGGTCTCCATCTCACAGAGATCATCCTGTCTCTGCCTCCCACGTGCTAGTACGAAAGGCATACACCATCATACCCAGCTCTTCTGTTCCTTTTTGAGAGGGTATTTCTCAAGTGCATCATCATATTCCTCACCTTGTGTACAGGCAGGGCTGGGTGAAGCTTAGATCAGGGCAGGGGGTGCCTGGGAGCTGCTCTTGCCCCCTGGCCCGCCCTACAAGAGGTCACTCAGCAGCTAAGAGCCTGGGTGAGGGATAGTGCTGGTCTGGACCTCTGTCACCCCCTGCCCTTGCACCCCCTCCCCATTGCCCCCCCTCCCCATTGCCCCGTCACTCCTGCTCACTCCTAATCCCAACACTGTGGGCTCAGGCAGCAGGTACCCTTCTCCTTCTCAGTCTCCTACTTGACTGTCATATTCCTCTTTTTTTTTTCCTTTTCTAGAAAGAAAAGTCAAAATCAAACAGTTCAGCAGCCCAAGAAGCTAATGGCTTTCCCTCTGATGCCTCAGCCAATCCTTCTCTCCTCCTCGAATTCCAGGGTGAGTTATGTCTGTGTGTCTCCACGTGGGAAAAAGACAGCTTAGGGGAACACCAAACAGAGATCTGGGCAGGGGAGAAGGCTCAGCCAGCAGAGGGCATGCCTAGGGCTTGCCAGGCCCTGGGACCCATCCCCAGTGCTTCCAGAACAAAAGAAAATGAAACAGTTTCACAGACTATTTCAGAGCCTGGGCTTTAGCTGCTGTCTTCATGAAAGTTTTTGCGTTTAAACATGATGCTGGCCTGTAGCACAGATGGTAATATTCCCATTTTCCAGCATGGGAAGGTGAGGCTCAGAGCTGTACCAGATCTGCAGTTCCAGGGTTCCATGACCAGTAGATGTTGCCCTGATGGCTTGGCCTTCTGGCTCAAAAGCTTATTTTCCTTTGGTATGGTGTGTTTTATCATGCCTCAGAGTAGGAGACCCAGTCAAGGCTGCCTCCTAAGACGCCCCTGCCCTATTGTCTATGTCATCCCTACACCTAGAGTGGGGCTTCTGGCACCTTCTCCACCTGTGTGGCCTTCCTGCTCATGAAGTACTTTCACATTGGTGTCTCATTGGAATCCTCTATGAGCCCATGGTATAAAACTACACAGTTGTCATCCTGGTTAAGAAATCAGAAACTTAGAAGAGTGTCAGAGATCACTAGTGACAAAACCTTGGTTTTGTTTGTTCCTTTCCCCCTTAGTCCTGGGGGGATTGAACTTAGGGCTTCACAAATGCCTGAACTGTACCTGCAGTCCTTTTTTAATTTTGAGATAGGGCCTCCCTAGCTTGCGCAGACTGGCCGTGAACTTGGAACCCTCTCAGCCTCCCAGGTGGCTTGGATTATAGGCCTGAGTCAGAGCTTTAGCTTTTTCACAATAGAATACCACTTCCATTTTAGTATGGTAGACAGTGGTCATGGTAAGAGGGAGAACTGGAGTGGGCTTACGCTGTCTTTTTAGAACAGCGTGTGAAGCCCCCAGCATGCCTGTGTTCCCACTCCTCCTTCCTCCCCAACAAGGCCAGTGTGATAGGAAGGAGAAGATGGGGAAGTGTTAGTGATCACAAAGCACAGGAGACAGGAGGCCCCATTTCCTCAGCCTGGTCTCCACCTGGTCCTTGTTCAATGAAGATTTAATGGAACTGTGTATCTTTTACTTCTTGTGCCAAGCTCAGGGCTGTCAGGCTGAGTCAGCCCCAGAGCCTGCTGGCACCATGACTGAAGGTGACCAGTGTGTGCAGGAGTCAAGGCAAGGGTGGGTCAGAGTCTCAGAGTGAGAGGAGCAACAGGGCTTCAGGAAACAAGCAATGCTGTCATAGAACATTATGGTATAGGGGCTTTCCAGGGAGACTGGGAAGGGAAGTCGTAGCAGCTGCAGCAGGAGCAGGTGAGCAGAGGCTGGTTTGTGCAGAAGCTCTAAGGACAGTGTCCTCCTTACTGGAGCCAGGCTGCATGTGGAAGAATGGCATGTGGGAGGCCTAGGGCAGACCTTCTCCTGTCAGCCCTAGCAGTGCCGAAACACTGGAGTGGGACTCTTGGGCAGCAGGAACCATTGAGGTCTGGAGTGTCCACTCTGCAGTGTTATGAGGACATGAGATTCTGGGCAGGGCAGTACCTTTGGGGCGGTCACAGGCCAGGCCAGCAGCAAGGAGTTCTGAGCTGAGGCAGCATGAGGAGGAGTGAATGCAGTGAGTTTGGAGAAGGAGACCATGAGCTCAATAGGCTGCAGCCACAGAGATGCACCTGTGGGCATCTGTTCTTTTGACGATGACTTTAAGCCTCGAGACACTACAGCCTCCTTCACAAGCCATGAATGCCAGACAGGTTCTGTTGTATTTCTATGTATGATGGGAAGGAGCAGATGGCACCCCTCCCACCCACTGTGCATCGGGAAGACTGAAGGCTGCAGCTGTAATTGGTAGGCAATGGAGACCTGGTTATATAAGCACAGCTCCATGCTCTCAGGGTAGAAATACTGCATTATAGAATTTGGCTGCATTACCTGTGGGTAATATAGATTGTAAAATAGAAAAGGCTTGGGCTGGGGATGTACCTCAGTTGGTAGAGTGCTTGCATAGCATGCATAAAGCCCTGGGTTCAATCCAGTACCTTACAAACCAGGTGTGGTGGTATGTACCTGGAATCCCAGAACTCAAGAGGTAGAGGAGGAGCAGGAGTTCAAGGTTATCGTTGGCTATACAGTGAGTTTGGGGACTGTGGACTTCACGAGACAAATCTCAGACAAAGAAGCTGGGTGTGGTGGCTCACATCTTAAGTCCCAGCACTTGGGAGTCAGAAGCAGGTAGATCTCTGTGAAATCAAGGCCAGCCTGGTCTACATAGCGATTTTCAGGCCAGCTGTAGCTACATAGTGAAACCCTGTCTCAGAAAACAAACCAACCGCCAGTCACAATAGTGCATGCCTTTGATCTCAGCACTCTAGAGGCAGAGGCAGGCAGAGACAGGTGTATCTCTGTGAAATCAAGGGCAGCCTGGTCTACATAGTGAGTTCCAGGCCAGCTGTGACTACAGAGACCCTGTATCAAAAAACCAAACCAAACAAACATGCAAAAGAAACAAAAAGGCCCAACCACCAAACAAAAGGAAAAGGGCTGGAGAGATGGCTCAGTGGTTAAGAGCACTGGCTGTTCTTGCCAAGAACATGGATTCAGTTTCCAGCACCCACACAGCAGCTACCAACAGTCTGTACCTCCTGTTTCAGGAGATCCAAGACTCTTCTGGTTTCCTCAGGCATTGCATTTCACATGCACATACCCACACACAGACACCCACCTACACATAATTATAAAAAATAAAACATAACAGCTTAGAGAGACCCTGCCTCCCCTTAGGAGTTATGTCTGAGCTGTGGCACTGTACTGTATGTCTGTGGATGCCTAGAAATGCCAGATCAACAATGGCCACTGTGCCACATGTCTGTGGATGCCTAGAGATGCCAGGTCCTTGGCTCTGGGAGACGACAGAGTCGCACCAACTTTTGCTCTGCTGTTTGGTTTCCAGATGAGAACAGCAACCAGAGTTCTGTGTCAGATGTCTATCAGCTCAAGGTGGACAGCAGCACCAACTCCAGCCCCAGCCCCCAGCAGAGTGAGTCCCTGAGTCCAGCACATACCTCAGACTTCCGCACTGATGACTCCCAGCCACCTACACTGGGCCAGGAGATCCTGGAGGGTGAGTTGCGCAGTCTCCTTGCATCTCTGACCTAGGTTGCTTCTCCTGTTCTATGACCTGTTACCAGTAGGCACTGAAATTGAACTAGTTTTCATGTGAATAACATGCTTGCTGGGCACTGTTCTAGCTCCTTCAGAACAGGAAGGCCAAGCAGGCATAGTGATATTTGGTCTGAGTGACAAGGAGAGTCAACTCAATTCCCAGTGTCTGCAGGCCACCCACCCCTGTGGTGGTCTTCTGTGATCCAGCTACACTTAGCAGCTCAGCCAGGCCCTGCATGCAGGCCTCCCAGGCCAGGTCCTTCTGGTCCCTTGACTGAGATGCCCTGGAGGCCTGTGCTGAGCTGAGCTTGCTGCTCTTGCAGAGCCCTCCCTTCCTGCCTCTGAAGTTGCTGATGAACCTCCCACCCTCACCAAGGAAGAGCCGGTTCCACTAGAGATGCAGGTAGAGTGGCTGTGGCTTTCCCCACTTCCCAGGAAGGAAAGGAGACTTGGAGTTGGAACCACACGACTGGCTGGGTTGCAGTGGGGTACAGGAGAACGAGTGCCCATGTCCTAAGGTTAGGGCAGGGTGGGCTTTGGGCTGCATTGTGGTGAATGGGCAGGGCTACTGGGAGGGATGGCCCATCATGTCCTGCCCTGCTGGCTCCTAGAGCACAGAGGAGGAAGAGGAGGAGGAGGAGGACTCGGGAGCACCACCCCTGAAGCGCTTCTGTGTGGACCAAGCTGCAGTGGTGCAGAGCACCGAAAGCTAGCACCCCAGCCTCTGCCTCCGGCCCCGCCTCTATTTATTCATTCTGGTCTGGCCACTGTGATGCCTGCGTGTGGAGCCCCCTGGGCTGGAAGGCTGACAGAAGGCATGGGGTGTTGCATCATCTTCTTGTCCTGGCACCTGTCTGCTTGCTCCTGAGCCGAGAAGCACACGTCTTTTCTACACCCCAAGGAGGCCAGAGCGTTGGGCTCACCTGTCACCTTCAGGTCGCACCCTCTGCTCCAGAGCCACTGCACAGAGCTGCTGGCACCTCAGCAAGGAGAAAGTGTGGAGGGACCTTGGAGAGTGGAGGGATGTCCGAGAAGAGTGGAGGGACGTCTGAGGAGACTACCAGGGTTACTTGAACTTGAACAGAGACTGATTCAGACTTTGCCACCGGGCCAGTGCCCTGTAGGCTGCTGCTGGAGAGGGATTGGTGGGGACCTGGAGAGTGGAGAGAGGTTGTCAGGAGGGAAGGGCTTTTTGCCCTGTGGCTAGGAGTCTGGGATTGTGTCCTGTGCCCAAGGAAGGCCTGCCTCTGCTGGGCACCCAGCTGCTCCCAGCCCTGTGCTGGAACTGTCCATTTCCCACAGACACTGCACACATGCAAAACTTCCTGTTGGCACCTATCATTTCATTCCAGCATCCCTGCCTTCTGCCCACACCACCCCAGCCAGGACTGGAGCTTCTGACCACAGTACCTGTCCTGCACAGTACTCCTTCTGCTTAAACTTTCTAGAATGTTCCCTTGTCTTTGAAATCTGCATGTTTAATTGAACTTTTGTGATTTTATTTTTTGTTTCACAAAAGAAAAGTTTAAGAAAAATGAAAATGGACAACAGCAAGTGAAGACCTATTTTAGCACTGAATAGAATATTTTTAAAATTAAACTATTTGAAATATGTCTTGTCTGATGCTTTCTTCTGTGAGTTGTGAGGCTGAGCTGCAGCGGGGAGGTGGGGGGTGCTTGTGAAGTCACCACAGGCCTGCCTACCATCTAACTCCAATACTGTGCCCTTCTTGACAAGAATGGCCTCAAGATGGACTTGGAGTTTGGAATGAAAAGGAGCATGGGGCAGCCTGGAATAACAGCACCTTGAGAGCTGAGTGGGAAGAGCTTGAGTTCCAGGCTAGCCAGGGCTACATGATAAGACCTGTCAAAATATAATAATAAACAGTCAATCTCAAAGTGTAGAAGAAACAGCTCAGCAGTTAGGAGCACAGGCTCCCCTTACAGAGTACGCAGCTTCAGTTCCCAGCACCCACATGGTGGCTAACAATCATCTGTAACTCTAGTTCCAGGGGATCCAGTGCTGCCGTCTGGCCTCCATGGGCATACACTTAACATACAGGCAAAACACTCATATGCAAAAAAAAAAAAAGTCAAATATATATATATATATATATATATATGCACACACATATATTTGTGTGTGTATATATAAACTTTAAAAAAGAAAAGTGCAGCTAGGCATGGTGGCACACACCTTTAATCCCAGCACTGGGGAGGCAGAGGCAGGCAGATCTCTGTGAGTTCAAGGCCAGCCTGGTCTATATAGTTCCAAGACAGCTGGGGCTACAGGGAGACCCTGTCTCAAAAAGACAAAAAAAAACCAGTGCTGATCCTAGTGCTGGAAGCCTGTAATCTCAGCCACCCAGGAGGCTGAGACAGGAGGATGACAAAATCAAGGCCAGCTTCTTCAACTTAGATCATGTCTTTTTTTTTAAACTTTTTATGTGTATGTGTGTATTGCCTGCATGTAGGTAAGTGCACCCGTGTCATGTAATGCCCGTGGAGATCAGAAGAGGCTGTCGGATCCCCTGGGACTGGAGTTACAGACAGTTGTTAGCTGCCATGTGGGTGCTGGGATTCGAACCCAGGACTTCTGCAAGAACAACTGGTGTTCTTAACCTCTGAGCCATCTCTCCAGCCCCATAGATCATGTCTTAAAAACCACAAAGAGCCAGGTGTGGTGGTGCATGCCTTTAGTCCCAGCACTTAAGAGGCAGAGGCAGGAGGATCTTTGTGAGATCAAGGCCAGCTTGGTCTACATGTCGAGGGTCAGGCCAGGGAAGCTGGGACTACAGGGAAACCCTGTCTCAAAAAGACAAGTAAAAAGCCATGTGGCAAGATCCCTTCAAGTGGAAAGGGTGAAGACAGATTGTGGAGGGCTGCAAAGGGCAGGCCAAGGTTTGGCTGGATCTGATTGGATTTATGGAACCAATGATATAGGACACTGTAAAGAAGACTTCCACAGGGTACAGGATCCTATGGGGAGGCCACAGAGGAGATGGATATGAACTGGAAGGACCTGCTCACCTGATGCGATGAGAGGTTTACAGTTCTGTGATCCTGGGAAAGCTACAGAAAAACAACATATAGCCAGGGATGGCAGAGGCCTGTCATCTAGGCACTTAGGTAGCATCTATATTTACCCAGGTGGGAGAATCAAGAGTTTGAGACCAGCCTGGGCTACATAGTGAGACTGTTTCAAAAAGATGAGGGCAGCCAGGTGTGGTGGCACATGCCTTTAGACCTAGTTTTCTGAAGGCAGAGGTAGGTGGATCTGAGTTTGAGGCCACTAGGTCTACAAGAGTTGGGAGGAACATGATCAAAATTCATTGTATACATGTTCGAAACTTTCACATAATTAATAAAAACATTTTTAAGCTGGGCATGGTGGTCTTTTTAAAAATTTTATGTGTATGAGTATTTTGCCTGCATGTATGTAAGTGCAGTCGTGTCAGGCAAGTCTTGCAGAAGTCAGAAGAGGGCATCAGATCCCCTGGAACTGGAGTTATGGATAGTTGTTAGCCACCATGTGGATGCTGGGAATCAAACCCAGATCCTCTGCAAGAGCAGCCAGTGCTCTTAACAGCTGAACCATCTCTCCAGTTCCAAGTACTGTGGCTTTTTGGTTTTTTTTTTTTTTTTTTTTTTTTATTTAAACTTTTAAAAAATTTATTTTTATGTGTTTGTGTGTATTGCCTGCATGTTGGTAAGTGCACCCCTGTCGTGCCCACCAGAGGTCAGAAGAGGCTGTCAGATCCCCTGGGACTGGAGTTGTGAACAGCTGTTAGCTGCCATGTGGGTGCTGGGATTCAAACCTGGGTCTTCTGCAAGAACAACCAGTGTTCTTAACCACTGAGCCATCTCTCCAGCCCCTTTTTTTTTGCATTTTTATTCACCATGCATGCTTACTTCTTGAGGGTAATTTGCAATTTTTTTTTTGTTGTTGTGTTTCTTTTTCTTCCTTTTTAAAATTGAATTTTTGTGAATTTCATACAACATATTTTGATCATATTTAGATCCTTTTCTGTGTCTGCAACTCCCTTACCAAATCCCCCTTGTTTATTTATTGGTTGTTGTGCTTGAATTTAGATTCTTTTGGAAATATGAAAAAAAGTTACATCTATCTAGTGTGTATGTGCAGGTGGAGGTCAAGGGACAACTTGCAGGAGTTGGTTCTCTCCTTCCATCCTGTGAATCTGAGGGACCCAGCTCATAAGGTCAGTCTTGGCAGCAAGCACCTTCACCCCTGAGCCAGCTCCCAAGTCCTTGAAATTTTTTCTCTATATGTTTTGTTTTTATTTTTAGCTATGTGTGTGTCTATGTGAGTATATGGTATGTGTGTGCAGGTGCTCTTGGAAGCCAGAAGAGGGCATCAGATCCCCTGGAGCTGGCATTAACAGGCAGTTGCTTAGGCCCTCTGTAAAAGCAGTGTACACTCTTAACTGCTAACTCATCTCTCCAGCCCCATTTTGAGAGAAAGAATCTTGCTCTATAGCCTCAGTGGGCCTTGCACTCTCCGTCTTGTGGTCATCCAGCCTCAGTCTGCACACACCACCCCTGGCAAAAATGTTTTTTTGTGTGTGGAGTCAGTGGTTAGGTATCTGTGTTTGTGTCTGCTGGGGTTCATGTTTGTACCTCCTTGCCTGCCTTCCTGTCTGCAAGGACCTTGTTCTACCTGGGCCCTCATGACTGCAAGTCAACATAGTGGTCATGATGACTGCTGCCTTACTATTCCATTACCTGACACTTTCTGTCTCAAAACAATGAAGTTTTAGGCACAATGACCCTACCATTATCTGTGCCTTGCTGTTTACTCTAGCTCTAAATGTCCCTCCCTGGTTTCTCTGTCTATGGAACACTTTTTTTTTTTCTGAGACAAGGTCTTCTGTAGTCCAAGCTGGCCTCCAACTCCTGATCTCCTCTCTCCACCTCTCAAGTGCTGGTATTACCCACTGAACTGCATCCTCAGCCCCAAGAACTCTGTTTTACATAACACAAGTGCTACATCCTCTGAGAAGTCGTTTTCTCTTCTTTCATCACATTATATTTTGTGTGTGGGTGGGTGCATGTTACTATGCATGTGTGAAAGTCAGTGGACAATCTGAGGGAGTCAGTTCTCTCCTTTCATTTGGAGTTCTGGGTACTGAACTCAAGCATGCTTACCTACTGAGCCATCTTACCTGTCGTGTGTGTGTGTGTGTGTGTGTGTGTGTGTGTGTGTGTGTGTTGATTCATTTTAAAATTTTCTTTTTATGTGTATGAGAGTTTTGCTTGCATATATGTAAGTGCGCCATGTTGTGCAGTGTTCAAGGAGGCCATAAGAGGGCTTTGGAACCCCTGGAACTGGGTTATGGTTGTTAGTCATCATGGGGGTGCTGGGAACCAAAACCAGGTCCTCTGCAAGAGCAGCCAGTGCTCTCAACCGCTGAACTCTCCAGCTGTCTCATTATGTAGCCCAGGTTGGCCTCAAACTTGCCATGTAGCTGAGATTTGCATTGAACTCCACCCCCTCCTGACTCCCACCTCAAGTACTGGGATTACAGGCAGAAGCCAGCACATCTAGGGCAGTTTCTGTTTTATTTTTGGTGATGAAACAGTGTAGGTTATTGTTGAATATTATTTGACGAATGGACATAGCTTGGTAAGAGTTCTTTTGGTCTTTTTGAGACAGGGTCTCCCTGTTGCCCCAGCTGGTCTACTTGCTATGTAGACTTAGATGGCCTTGACCTCACAGAGATCTGCCTCCCTCGGCCCCCAAGTGCTGGGATTAAAGGCATGCGCACTACCCAACCAGCATAACAGATAAGTCTTAACATAATAATATTAATTTTTGGGGGGGGCTCTTTTTGAGACAGGGTCTCCCTTTAGCCCCAGCTGGCCAGGAGCTCACTATGTAGACCAGGCCTGCCTCTGCTTCCTGAGTGCTGGGATTAAAGGCAGGCAACCATGCCTAGCTAACATAATTCTTTTTATTTATTTATTTTTGTGACAAGGTCTTGTTTTGCAGCCCAGGCTGGTCTGGAACATACTATGTACCCCAGGCTAGACTCGAACTTATTCTCCAACTTCAGAGACACACAGCACACAGTCTGTGTGTATAACATATAACATACACATGTAAAACATGCATGTGATGTTTTTGAAAAAATTTTATGTGTATGTGCGGATTGGGTTCTCTCTCCACCTTGTGGATCTTGGGGGCTGATTTCCAGTCTTTGGTCTTGGCAGCCTTGGAGTGGGAGGGCAATCTATTGCCTGGCTCTGAAAACCCTACCCAATAAATCTTTTTAGAATCAAGCCCACTCGCAATATCCAAGTGTCAACTCAGGGTTGTCCAGACTAAGTTAACTTCGGGGCGAGCAAAGCGGGGTTCAACTGGCCCTGAAGAAGAACCTCTGGTTCAACTGGCCCTGAAGAACCTCTGCTTCGGATGGGTCCCAGGTTTCTTCCCGCCAACCGCTCCCAGCAGAGCAGCCCCACCCGTGCATCCCCGGGCGTGGCCGAGTGAGGCTCCTTTAAGAAGGGGGCGGAGCTCGAGTGGAAAGACAAAGCCCCTGGCCGCGCGTTCCCCCTCCCCCCTCCGGCACACCACACGGACAGTGGGTGCCCGGATGTCGGTGTCGCCAGTCGGTGACAGATGGCGCAATGTCTGTATCTGTGACAGTTCTTTCTGCTCTGACCTCTTTGAGTCCTCCGCCTCTCGGTCCCCCGCTGTCCCTTTACTTTTTAAGTCCGCCACTGGAGGCCGGCACGCCTGTCACCGGCTCTTACATAACGTGACCTTTCACCCCTTCAGACTGCCCTCTAGTGCGCTGCAACCTAACTACGCGGCCTCGGCCTAGGAGGCGGGACCCGAACTCGGAGCGGCAGCTGCCCTCAGCCAATAGACTCCGAGCGCTGACTAGCTCTCCACCTATCGCAGCCTCTGTCCCCAGGGCGCCACAGGGGAGCAAGTTAGTGTGCGTGCTGGCCCGGCTGTGGGGGGAGGAGGGGAATCTCCCGCCATTTTTCAATAATTTCCTCCGGTACCCGTTGAAGAGGAGTCTTGACTAGCGGCCGCAGCGGCGGAGGGCGACCTGAGGTGAAAGACACCGGGAAGGCGCGTGAGAGAACCTCTCGGTCTCTTCGTTTCTCCTACCCTGAGCTTCCATGGCTGTGGCGCGGCCGCGCCACCTCTGAGGGAAGCCGGAGAGTTCGCGCCGCCCTCTCACCCCTCCCCTCCCCCACCGCCCCGGGAAGCCAGGCGCTTCGCTCGTTCGCTTGCTCGCTCGGGGCCGCTGGGGCCTAACGCTGCGCGGCGGAGCTGCCGAATCCCCGGGGCGCGCGCGGTCCTCCTTGTCCGCCCGCCCGCCCGCCGCGATGGCGCCGCTGCTGGGCCGCAAGCCTTTCCCTCTGGTGAAGGCGCTGCCCGGAGAGGAGCCGCTCTTCACCATCGCGCACACTCAGGAGGCCTTCCGCACCCGGGAGTATCCTTTTTTGCCTTTTTTTCCTCTTTTCTCAGTACACGAAGTGACCCTCGGCCCCGCCGGCTTGGGTGGCGGCGAAGGGATGGAGACCCGGAGGCGCGGACGGGCCGCGCGCCGCTCGGGCGGCAGCTGTCACCGCACCCGGCCTCGCGGTCCCCGCTTCCCCGCCGCGGAGCCCTCCGGCCTCCCCTGCATCCTCCCTGCGGCCTCCATCGTTCCCAGGGTGACCGTGGGCGCCCCACTTCCCTCCTCCCCAACTTGGCTGCGGGCCTTAAGTGGCTAGGGAAGGGAAGCCGGGTTTCCTTTGCGCATTTTTTTTTCCCCTTTTCATATAAATGAAACCGTCAAAATGAAGTTTTTTAAATTGGACCTGCGCGACCGCGTGATCCGGCGTGGCCCAGGCTGGTCTGCTTCTCGGCCTATCTGGGGAAAGGGGGGAGTCTGTTGTGGGGTTTTGGGGTTTTGTTTTGTTTATTTTGTTTTTCCCCTTCGGAGTGGACTTTAGGCCGCGGATAAATGACAGGACCCGTAGACCACAAAACCAGGGGTGACTTTTCACGTTTGAGGGGGGCGAGGGGAGAAAAATCTCTCGGAGGAATTGGTGGCATTTCTGTCCTTAGGATCACACTTTTGAGAATTCGAAGATGGAGGTTAGTTTTTTCTTTGATTATTTTTAGTTTATGTGTATAAATATTTTGCCTACAGGTTTCTAAGTGCACTACATGCCTGCAATGCCTGCAGAGGCCAGAAGAGGCTGCAGGATCCCCTGGAACTGGAGTTATGGACTTCCTTGTGGGTGCTGGGAACGGAACCCTGGTCCTCTGCAAGAGCAGTCAGTGACTTAATCTTTGAGCCATCTCCCCAGTCCCCCCCCCCCCCCCCCCATTTTTAATACATGGTTTCATACAGCTTAGACTGGCCTTAAACTCCTCATCCTCCAGCCTTCACTTCCAGAGTGCTGAGATGACAGGCATGCGCCACCTGTTCCAGCTTCCTTTTAATTTTTTTAAAAAATGTGTAGGAGTATTTTGCCTCTCTGTATGTTAGTGTACCTGTGCATGCAATGTCCATGGAGGCCAGAAGAGCACTTAAGATCCCCTGGAACTGAGTTACAGTCAGTCATTAACTGCCATGTGAGCAGCCAGTGCTCTTAACTGCTAAGCCAAATCTCCAGCTCCAATTTGCTTTCATTTGAGGCATAATCTCACTATGTAGTCCAGCCTGTTTTGGAACCTCTGTGTAGACCTAGCTGACTGAAACTTGCAGTAATCCTCCTGCCTCAGCCTCCCGATTATGTAAACAAGCATGTGCCACCATTTTCTGCTTGGTATTTGTGTTTCAGTGCAAGTAAAATACAAAGGCATGCTTACTTAAAGTCTTTGTTTTATTTTAGGAGCATGAGACTGATGTTTTAAAATAGGGTATCTCTGGGCTTCTGATCATTGCTTTGAGATCCTTTTAGTCAAAGCTGTATGACTTGCTGGTTGTGGTTGGTGGTGCACATTTTTCATCCCAACATGGGAGGCAGAGGAAGGCAGATCTAGCCTGGTATACATTTAGAGCTGCAGGCCAGCTGGGGCTACAGAGAGACCCTATCTCAAAAAAAAAAACAAAACTGTATGACTGTATTTTAATTGATGCCACATGAATCTTTGAAGGTTTTTATTTTTTAAAGGTAGTTTTCTGAATCAAACTTTGATGTCTTATTAGCTTTATCAGCCTTTTCCCTTTGAAAAGACCAGATTTAGTAGTTTCTGCTGTGGAAGGGTCTAGGTGAACTCCTTCATTTCTCTTTTAATCTTTGCTATATTTCTTTTTTTTTCTCTTATGTAGCCCAGGATGACTTCTAACTTACTATGTTTTGAAGGTTGGCATTGAACTCCTAATCCCCCTGCCTCAACCTCCCAAGTGCTAGAATTGTAGGTGTGTACCCCACCCAACTTGGTCTTTAATGGTCCTGTTTTATAGGATCATTTCAACCCTCACCCCACAAAACTGAGACGTCAACCTAGGCCTTGCACATTGTATGCAAATGTATTACTGGTGAGCTACAGCCATAGTCCTCTGCTTTTAGTTAATGACAGGGTGTCATTCAGTTGCTCAGGTTGCCCCTGAACTCACTATGTAGCTTGGGGCTTTCCTGCTTCAATGGTCCCAGTAGGTGGGATGGCAGGCCCTCACCACCAGCCCCAGACTGCTTCATTCTTGGTTAGTAGCAGTTGTGAATGTTAGTGTGCATGCATACATGGACACAAAAGTGTGTCTACATTGGAGGTATGTTTTGATGATGTTTATCTTTAGCATCTATTGCAGCTGAAATGGATCTTGAAGGGGTCCAGGACTCCTGCCTGCTTCCAAGTGGGTCCAAGAGAATTGAAGTTGGCATGTTAAGGGTCATACATTATTCTAAGCGCCAATGATGAGAATGGGAATTACACTCCAGTGTTCTTCCATCCACGTCACTGTAAGGAAATGAGGGAAAACAAGGGACTGTGAAGCTAGGGATAGAACCCAGGGCCTTGAAGGAGCTGGGCATGAACTGTATTGCTGAGCTGCAACTATTGGTGTTTTGAAACAGGGTCTCTATGTAAAGAGCTTATGCTGCCTTGGAACTCTCTAATCCTCCCGCCTCAGCCTCCCAAGTGCTGTGGTTTCAGGGTGATAGGATCATAGACCTGTGTCTCTATGTCCTACTTCCTTCACTCTTAAATGTTAGTCCACTCTGTCAGTGGTATAAGATATAATTAGGTGATAGAGGATTTATTTAGCTCTACGAAGTTTTGGGGGTTTTTTTGGTCTTTTTGAGACAGGGTCTCCCTGTAGCCCCAGCTGTCCTGGAACTTACTATGTAGACCAGGCTGGCCTTGAACTCACAGAGATCCGCCTGCCTCTGCCTCCCAAGTGCTGGGACTACAGGCCCAGAGTATATTATTTTAAAGAGCACCATGCTGTTCTTTACATTTCTGAGGCATCAGTGGAGCACAGTTTTACTTCTGTGAATCTGACATAGCCTTGTTGATTGTTTTTTTAGGTGTTTTATTTTTGTTCTTGCATTTTGAGAAAAGGTCTCACTATGTAGTCCTGGCTGACCTGGAACTTGCTATGTAAACCAGTCTAGCCTCAAACTCAGAGAGATCTGTCTCTGAGTACTGGGATTAAAGGTGTGTGCCACCATGCCAGCCTCGCTTTTTTTTTTTTTAACTTTTGGTGATCATACTAATACCAGAAGTTGATTTTTTTTTTTTTTTAAGTATCTGGTTCTAGTGCAATATAGTAAATATGCCATAGAGAAGAGAAAAAAATCCAAGTCTAATGGGTATACTGAGCCATCTGGAAAATGGCCATAGCCAGCTAATTTAGAACTATCAACAAAGTCCTTACATTTATTTATTTTTTGTGTGGATGACCATGCTCATACCACTGCACACGTGGAGGACAGAGGACAGCTTTTGAGCGAGTTCTGTTGTACCAAATGGAGTCCATGGATCTAACTCAGGTCATCAGGTTTGACAACAAGCACCTTTACCTGCCGATCCATCTTGCCAGCCCAACAGGGTTTTAAGTATTATTTACTCATTGAAATAAATGCATGAAGCACTTTTGTTGTGTTGGGATTGAACCTGTGGCCTGGAGCGTGCGCTGTCACTGAACAGCTTCCCTCTCCCTACAGAGATTTTCTGAATGAAAACAAACCTGAAATAATTTAAATGGTACGTATTTAGCATTTTTTTCCCCCATGGCAATATTTGGAACTCTTTAACAAAGGGATTATTTTTAAAAGAGTTCCTTGGGGTTTTTTATTTTTATTTTTTGACAGAGTCTCCCTGTAGTCCCAACTGACCTGGAACTCACTTATGTAGACCAGGCTGGCCTCAGCCTCAAAAGAGGTTTGGCTTGCCTTTGCCTTCAGAGTGCTGGGATTGAAGGTGTATGTTACCACTCCTGGCTTGGCCAGTTATTTTATGAGACTCTTAGTGGTTTCATAGAGGAGGAAAAATGTATTGTTGAACAATAGCTGTATTTGCAGTATTATTATTCCCACTTAATTTATATTTATGATTATATTTTAAACAAGATTTGATACTTTAATTGTTCCTTGATCTTTTTTATTACATGTATAGTTATAACAAATTTGCATTTTAAAAAATATTTTATTACTTTTATTTTATGTGTATGGGTATATTGCTTGCGTGTATGTGAGTGCACCCATGCTGTGCTGTGCTGCAGAGGTCAGAAGAGGGCTTCGGATTCCCCTGGAACTGGAATTGGAAGGATGGTTCGTAGCTGCCATGTGGGTGCTGGGACTCGAACGTGGGTCCTCTGCAAGAGCAGTCAGTGCTCTTAACCGCTGAGCCATCTCTACTCCAAATTTGCATGTTTTATTGACAAAGTGGTAAGTTAATGTTAATGTTGTACTTTCAAATGTAAGCTAAATGGTGGTGTACACCTATAATCCCACCCAGCATTTGGAAAGCTGAGGCAGGAGAAGAAGGACTAGGCAAGCCTGGCCACATAGGGAGACCCTGTCTCAAAAATGAAAGGACTTGGCTGAGTAGTTAAGAGAGCTTCTAGCTTATCCAGAGAACCTGATTTCTGTTCTAGCACCCAGGTCAGATGGCTTACAACCACCTGTAACTAAACTCCAGGGGATTGAATGTCCTTCACAGGCACGGCACACAGAAAAATAATCAAGAAAGAGACAAAAAGTTGTTGTGGTTAATAGATGCATTTAATGACAATATGTTATACATTATAGATGTTTTGATTACATTGTAGCTTTGAATTTGTGGCACATTCCTCCCTAGGCAGGCACTCTATTGCAGTGGAAAAACGTTAACTTTATTAGAGTCACGCTTTGGGTGGTGGTTGTTTTTTCCAGATATGGTCTCTTTTATGAAATTCAGACTGGCTTTAACTTTTGTATTTGAGACTGGATTGTGTATGTCTTGTTACATAGCCCTACCTGGCCTAGAATTTAACTCTGTTGTCCAAGATGGCCTTTGTTTATAAGTGATCGATTAGGTCAAAATGGGTTTTAGGCAGGAACGGAAGCTATCAACAGCCTGTTGTAGATTAGTATTTTGTTATGTGCTTGAACTCAAAAGGTGTTTTTTTTTTTTTTTTTTAATTTTATGTGCGTGAGTGTATTGTCTGCATGTATGTGAGCGCACCCCTGTCGTGCAATGCCTCAGAGGAGCGCTTCAGATTTCCCTGGAACTGGAGTTAAGGACAGTTCATAGCCACCGTGTGGGTGCTGGGAATTGAACCCAGGTAATCTGCAAGAAGAGTCAGTGCTCTTAACCGCTGAGCCACCTCTCGAGCCCCCAACTCAAAGTTTTTAAAGTTTAGAAGCAGCTGATTTAGGAGCTTGGTGTTGTCAGGTGAGATCTCTTAGGTAGTATGATGGGGGTCTGTTACTTGTACAGTCAGTCTGACCCTAAATAGCAAAACATGTTTGAAGAGTTAGGTGGTTAGGAATGGAGTTGTCATTTTGATAGGACTTTTTTTTAATGTGTATGAGTATATGCTTGCATGTAAGGTAGGTGCACCCCCTGTGCAGTGCTCACAGAGGTCAGAAGAGGGCATCGGATCCCCTGGAACTGGAGACGTGGGTGCTGTGAATCAAACCCGGGTCCTCTGCAAGAGCAGTTAAGGCTCATGACTGCTGAGCCATCTCTCTAGCCCTTTTTCTTTTTTAAATATAGCTGGTCTCATACTTTCTGTGTAGCCCAGGCAGGCTTTGAACTTGTGACAATTCCCGTGCCTGTGCCTCCCAAATGTTGAGATTACAAATGTGTGTGTGACACAGTGCCCAGTTACCTAATAAAATAAATTACGCCAAATTAGAGTTGTTACCTGATTGGCAGTCTAGTGCAAAGAGAGAAAAGTGGAATAAAAAGCAAATCTATGAGTTGGCTGTATTGGTCATCTTTTCACTTAGAACTTTGAGGATTGTAGTTGTGTTGTTTGTTTGTGATAGTTTTGTGTATTGCCCAAGCTGCCCCCAGCCTCTGGAGTGCTGGTATTCTGGGTGTAACCTTCAGTTATGCTTTTTAACTGGCTTTGCTTTGCTGGGTGACTTCATTTCAAGCTGTCAGGTACTGTTAAAGAAACAACCCTTTCGTGGCTCAAGAGAACAAAGTAGCAGATTGTGGTGGATCTCCTACTGTGGAAATCCTGGAGTTAGGGAAAATCAATGCAGAATGAGATAGGCTAGGCCTTGAAAATGCCTTATCATCAGTAGCTTACACAACCTTTTGAGAATTGCTTTGACATTTTGTCTGCAATTACACATGCAGCAGTTGTTAGAACATAGAAACCTCGATTGGCATTTGCTCTGAGCAGTTATTTGAGTGTGAGTGACTTATTTTGGTACCTAAAATGTAAAATAGAATTTAGAGGCCATTGACTCAATGCCTCTAATGGGCATCCCTGCTCCCCTTTTTGTTTTGTTTTTGTTTTTTGAAACAGGGTCTCCTGTGGCCCAGGCTGGCTTTGAACTTACCGTGTAGCTGGAACTACACAGAATTGAACTTCCTGATCCTCCTGCTTCTTCCTCTGTATTGGGATCTCAGACCTGTGCCATTGCAGGCTTCAAATTCTTGGAGCTGCGATGAAACCTGCCACTTGGAAAATACAGGGTTTGGCAGCTAACTCTAGTTGCAGCTCAATTTGTTTTCTTGCATAGCATCTGTTACTATCCATGCACAGAAGTAAATTAGTTACTTGCCATTTGAGTTTAAGGTGGCTGAATGGTAAGGAGTTGCACTTGGGATGTAGGGACGTTACCTTGTGTTTGGCACTGTACTGTTTTCTTTCCCCATTTCACTCAGGAAGACTGGACAAAAACGAGTTAATGGATTTGTGAATTAGTGTCATAGCCAGTATAAAGACTGAAATAAATTTTCTATCAGAACTGTGCTTAGTACTTTATGTAGTTGATTTACTTTTTTCTTGTGATATTGGAATTGAACTTATGGTCTGGTGCATGCTTAGGCAGAGGCTTTACTACTGAGCAACAGTCCCAGCCTGGAAGCCTCAGGAAGCAACAGGTGTTTCCAAGGTGGGCAGGAGGTACAGTGGTAAGTGGTCATGAGTCTGTGCAGTTCCTTCCAACTGCTTGTGGGACTATGGTCTTCTCATCCTTCTGCAGACTGATTCTTAAACTTGGAGACCATCTGAGTTGTATAACAATTGTACTTACCTTAAGTCTTTATTTCTGCTGGGTGAGGTGGCACATGCTTTTAATCCTAGCACTTGGGAGGCCCAGGAAGGAGGATCTATGAGTTTGAGGCTGACTTGGGCAACAAAGTGAGACTTGTCTCAAAAAAGTCCTTATTTTTTATGACTGCTGTATGACTTATGCTTTTCTTATGTTGCTTTTTTTTTTTTTTTTTAAGTGTCTCATTGTGTAACCCAGGCTAGCTTCAAACATGAGATCCTCCTGCCTCAACCTTCCTAGGATTACAGGCATTTGCTCTGTGCCATCATCCTTATCCTTGGTTTGTTACATTCTTTTTGTTTTGCATTTTTAGTGTTGCATGAATTGTACAAAATAAAATTATCCATGATGAGTTGATGAAATTGCATTTGCTCCAAAAATCCTGTTTATTTATTCATTCATTCATTTTGGATGGCACCTATGTGCAGATCAGGACAACTTTCAGGAGTCAGTTCTGTCCTTCCACCATGTGGGTCCTGGGGCTTGAACTCAGTTCCTCAGGCTTGGCAGCAGGCACCTCTACTCAGTGAGCCCTCTCGCTGGCCCCAGCACTGGTATTTTATTTGTGAACTGTTAATCTTGCTTCAGTTTTGATCATGCCTTGGATTTATAAGTATTTTCTGAGTAAGGGTTGGTTGTCATATTTCTTGAACATTGTTTTCCTGAGCCACTGCTGACAGAGAGTATGAAGCCCGCTTGGAACGGTACAGCGAACGTATTTGGACGTGTAAGAGCACTGGAAGCAGTCAGCTAACACACAAGGAGGCCTGGGAGGAGGAACAGGAAGTTGCCGAGCTGTGAGTAGCATTATCCTTGCCCTTTGGCACCATCTTCACCATGCCAGGAAAGCGGGGGTGGGGTGATGCTAACCCCTAAGGCAGTGTTAGTGCTGTAGATGTGGGGCATAAACTGGAATACATCATGTCATAGACTGTTGGCGGCCAGATGCTTTTGCTCAATAGCATTTTGCTGGTAGAGAGACCCACTTCCATTCTTTGACAGGATCTAGTAGTGGCCTGTGGCCTATTGCTGACTGGTAGTGCTTAAAACTGTCAAACTGGCACCCTCTTTTCTTTAGTCATGTTGCTATTTGTATTATTTATATATCTATATCCATCTCTTCGGATATATGTTTATATGCACCTTGTTTAATGTGCTAGCTAGACCAGGGGTTGGCCAAGATTTTCTATAAAGGACTGGTTTCTAACTACTTTAAGCTTCTAGGACATAGGGACCTCTTTTTGTTGTTTTGTGGGGGGTTTTGTTTTGTTTTTTTGAGACTGGGTCTTCCTTTAGCCCCAGCTGGTCTGGAACTTACTATGTAGACCAGGCTGGCCTGGATTTTACAGGGATCCACCTGCCTCTGCCTCCTGAGTGCTGAGATTAAAGGCATGAACCACCATGCCCTGCCCAGGACATAGGGACACTTGTCTCAACTGAACTCTAAAGTTGTACTGTGTAGACGACTATAGATAATACATAAAGGAATAATAGTGTTCTAATAAAACTATTTACAAAGCTGGCAGCATGGTATATTTGACCCATTGGCTGTAGTTGACCTCTCTGGTAGCCTGCAAATTTATTCCCTCTCTCCCTCCTGCTGTGCTGGGGATTGAACCAGGTCTGTGCAAGGCAAGTGCTCTATCACTGAGCTGTACTCTCAGCTCTAGCTATAAACTTCTGCAGAGCAGGCTCATACTTGACCTTACTTTTGAATTCTTTTTATGTGTATGAGTGTATTGCCTGCATGTATGTAAGTGCACCCATGTTGTGCAATGCCCACAGAGGTCAGAAGAGGGCACCAGATCCCCTGGAACTGAAGTTATAGACAGTTACTAGCTGTTATGTGGGTGCTAGAAATCAAACCCAGGTTCTCTGCAAGAGCAGCCAGTGCTCTTAACCATCTCTCCAATCCCTTGGATTCTTCTTTTTTTTAAAATTCGAATTAAGGGTCTGGAGAGATGGCTCAGCGGTTAAGAACACTGGTCATTCTTGCAGAAGATCCAGGTTTGAATCCCAGCACCTCCTACATGGCAGCTAACAACTGTCCTTAACTCTAGTCCCAGGGAATCCAACAGCCTATTCTGACCTCTGCGGGCATTGCACAACATGGGTGCACTTACCTACATGCAGGCAATACATGCATATACATAAAATAAAAATTTTTTTAAATGCGAATTAAATTAATACTTTAAAAAAACATTTACTTGGTATGGATGGGTGCACATGGGCCACAGAACATGTGTGGTCTGAGGAGAACTTATGGGAGTCTGTTTTCTTTGTACCATATAGGGGTTCTGAGGATTGAACTCTGATCAGCAGACTTGCTGTTACCCACTAAGCCATCTTGTCAGCCCTGTTCTTGAATTCTTTACCGTGTTTAGTATGGCCTCTTACATTTCATATGCACTTAAACTTGTTCTTTGCAGATGGAGATAACTCTGCCTTCTCTAGTTTTTTTTTTGTGGGATGTTTTGAGAATAGAAAGGTATATGTGTGAAAACTGCAGATAAAAAGACATCACCATAAGCTAAAGAGTTAAAAAAGGACAAGGTCAGATGTGGTTACATGAAATATAGTCATTTACCTAGAAAACCCCAAGAGAATCAAGTGAAAAGCTGTTAGGAACAAGTAAGAGAATTCAGTTTCAAAATGAGAAGTAGATGACTTCCCTACTCCCAAAGAGCCAAAGTGGGAATTTAGAAGCTATAGAGACAGCACCTGGGTGATCAGGAAAGCATTAAAAGGGTTCATGAACAAAATGATTGAAGCTTAGAAGGACCGTTTGTGCTAAATTGAAGACAAGATGAGGCATTTGTGTTTAATTCAGCAGAGAACATGGTTGCCACTGGGCTTTCACAGTCATCTAGAAGCCATGTCTGGATGTACTATAGTGTTGGGGCAGGGCTTCACAAATAGTATTAATATGAGAATGGGAAGGGTGAGGTGAATTCCCTAATCTCTCCTGAAGAGAGTACTTTGATTGTACCTTTGAAAAGCCACTGCAAACTTCTTGGAAAGTTACAGTGCACCTTAGCATATTAAAGATGTTCTGAAAGTCTGCAGTAGAGAAACTGTCATCTGGTTTTATCTGATGTCAACCTGATTTGCCCTTAGAACATATCACATCCTTGAAGTTCTTCAGGAGACTCATGGGAAATATTTATGCAGTTTGGTAAACTAATAGAATATAGGAGGTGATAGAGAATTACTGGACAAGATAGGGATATTTTAAAGTTTTTAGTTAAAGTAGAAGTCTTTTTCTGATTATGAAAGTGTAGAGCATGTGATTCAGTGGTTCAGCACTTGCCTAGCATGCACAAGGTGGTTGATCCTCAGCACCACCAATAAAAGCTAATGTATAATTTTGTTAAAAATGTATATGACAAGCTGGGCATGGTGGTGCACGCCTGGAGACAGAGGCAGGCGGATCTCTGTGAATTCAAGGCCAGCCTAGTCTACATAGTGAGTTCCAGGACAGCTGGGGCTACAGGGAGACCCTGTCTCAAAAAGCCAAAAAAAAATGTATATGACGTAAAAGAATCTGAACACCATTATCCAACATCACTCTCTAACAATAACTTCAGACAATGAAGTTTACACTTGAGTGAGGTTGAGCTAGGCATAGTGATAACACGCCTTTAATCCCAGCACTGGGAGGCAGAGGCAGGCTGATCTCTGTGAATTCAAGGCCATCCTGGGCTACACAGTGAGTTCAAGGCCAGCTGGGGCTACAGGGAGGTCTCAAAAAGACCAAAAACAAACAAAAACCTTGAGTGATGGGGCTGCCCAGATGGCTCAGCATTAAAAGTGCTTGCCATAAAGACTAATGACCTGAGTTCCATCACCAGGACCCAGATGGTGGAAGGAAACAACTCCTAAAAATTGTCCTCTGACCTCCACAGGCACTTGGGAGGCAGAGGCAGGCTGATCTTTGTGAGTTCAAGGCCAGCCTGGTCTACATAGTGATTTCCAGGCCAGCTGGGGCTACAAGGAGACCCTGTCTCAAAAAGACAAAAAACAACAACAACAACAACAACAACAAAATATACATATATAAATAAAATAACTTTTTTTTTCTTTTAAAGAAAAACCAGCTGGGCATGGTGGCAGTACCATGTGTTTAATCCAGCACTTGAGAAGCAGAGGCAGGCGGATCTCTGAGTTCAAGGCCAGCCTGGTCTACATACTGAGTTCTAGGCCAGCTGGGGCTATAGGGAGACCCTGTCTCAAAAAGACAAAAAAACAAACTTTATGTGTAATAACTGCCCATTTAGGCTGCTTTTCATTTTCTGTGGAAGAATTCAGCTATGAATATCTTTGTACATATATGGCAGTTTTGATAAGTGTTGCCCAGTTGCTTTACAGAAGCTGAAACTGGCTGTCAGCAGGGTATGACTATCACTTTGTAGTGTTGACTGCCATGCTTGGTGTGATAATTAAAATAAAATTGCTTTTGTTAGATTAATAAGTGAAGTGGTAGTTCACCTTTTTACTTTTCAAGGACTTTGGAGTCAAGTCAGAGCCTGTGGCCTTGGCTAATTTCTTTACCTGCAAAATGAAAATGCTGACCACCTCACAGAGTGTCATGAGAAGTTAGTGAATGCACTTGAGACAGGTACTGTCAAGTTATGTCTTTCTAACCAAAATGGGTAAAGGATAGGAATAAGTTTGCAGCTGAAAAGAATTGCCCTGCCCTGCAGAGTAATGGGGAGGATCAACCTGATAGTGATGAGCTTGCATGTTATAAGTGAGAAAGTCAGCATGCATAGACCAGTCTGACTACTTTAAAAGTTCTTGGTTTTTTTCTTCTGTAAACTACAAGGGTCTTTCCCCTTCTTCCCTCTGATCATCCCTCCTTTTCTTCTTTCTGAGACATTGTTGCTGTGTCTAGCTGGCCTAGCCCTTGGCATTCCTGTCTCCAACTCCTGAACTGATATTATAGTTGTGAACCACCATGCCCAATTAGCTAATTGGCTTTTTTTTTCTGTCTTTTTAAAATAGAGTCTCCCTGTAGCCCCAGCTGGCCAGGAACTCACTGTGTAGACTAGGCTGGCCCGAACTCACAAAGATCCGCCTGTCTCTGCCTCCCAAGTGCTGGGACTATAGGTATGTGTCACTGGCCTGGCTAATTGGCTTTTTTTTAATCATTCTTTTTTTTAAATGTGTATGAGTGTTTTGTCTGCATGTAAGTGCACATATGCATACATACAATGATACCCGAAGAGGGTGTCAGATCCCCTGGAACTGGTTACAAACTTGTTAGCCACCATTTGGATGCTCTGCAAGAGCAACCAGTGCTTATAACCACTGAGCTGTCTCTCCAGCCCTATCTGCATGGCTCTTAATATTCATATTTATTTCTCAGTGCCCTGCATGCATTTGCTACAGAAATACTTGCTTTGTTGTGACCCTAAAACTGCCATAAAAAGCTAAGTCTGAGGCTGGGCGTGGTGACACACACCTATAATACCCAGCACTGGCAGAGGCAGGCGGATCTCTGAGTTCCAGGCCAAGTGGGGCTACAGGGAGACCCTTTCTTGAAAAGACCCCCACTCCCACCCCCTGAAAAAAAGTTTGAATTGAATTTCTTGGTAGTTTTTGCATTTTCTTGCTAACTAATAAGATGTTTATTTAGTTTGAAGGAGGAGTTCCCTACCTGGTATGAGAAGCTTGTTCTGGAAATGGTTCACCATAACACAGCTTCCTTAGAGAAGTTAGTAGACACTGCTTGGTTAGAAATCATGACCAAATATGCTGTGGGAGAAGAGTGTGACTTCGAGGTAAGTGCCTGCTTTTGCTTTTCATTTTTAATCATAATTTGACTCACTGTGCATATTGGAGCTTCTGACAAAGATACAGAGCACAGCATTATGTGGAAGATTGTGTTACATCATCTGAAGGTTGCTTTACCTAATAACAACTATTAAAACCACATTTTAGAAACTTACTGAATGTTGTGATTATTGCTACACTGTGTACCCGTACTACGCACACGCACATGCACGCAGGGGAATGTAGCTGAGTTAGTAGAGTGCTTGCCTAGGATGCAGGAAGCCCTGGATATTGGCCCCAGTACTGCATAAATGAGACGTTGTGTATGCCTGTAATCCCAGCACAAACAAACAAACAAACATACATACATAAAAAATGTAATCAAAACCTTTTTTTTAATATTTTATTTATTGTTTTTATTTTATGTATATGAGTATATTGCCTGCATGTATGTGAGTGCACCCATGTCGTGTAGTGCTGTGGAGGTCAGAAGATGGCTTCGGATTCCCCTGGAACTAGAGTTAAGAACGGTTCCTAGCCACCATGTGAGTGCTGGGAATCGAACCCGGGTCCTCTACAAGAGCAGTCAGTGTTCTTAACCGCTGAGCCAACTCTCAAAACACTAAGGTTTATTTTTTATTTGTGTGTGTGTATTTGTGTGTCTGTTTCTGTGTCTGTGTGTGTGTACACACTTGTGAGTGCAGGTACACACTGAGGCCAGAAAATTGTTAGGTCTCCTGGAGCTGGAGATACAGGTGGGTATGAGTCACCTGATGTGAATACTGGGAACTGATCTAGAGCCTCTGCAAGAACAATAGTACTTTTTTTTTTGGTCTTTTTGAGACAGAGTCTCCCTGTAGCCCTAACTGGCCTGGATTCACTATGGAGACCAGGCTGGCCTTGAACTCACAGAGATCCGCCTGCCTCTGCCTCCCAAGTGCTGGGATAAAGGTGTGCGCCGTGTGCCACCACACCTGGCCTTTTTTTTTTTTTTTTTTAATGTGTACCAAGTATATTGCCTGTATGTATGAGTGCATCTATGTCATGCAGTGCCTTGGAGGACAGAAGAGGGCTTCAGATTCCCCTGGAACTGGAGTTAAGGATGGTTCGTAACTGCCATGTGGGTGCTGGGAATCAAACCCAGGTCCTCTGCAAGAGCAGTCAGTGCTCTTAACCGCTGAGCCATCTCTCCAGCCTCTGTTTTCTGCAGCAGTTTTTTTTTTTAATGTGTATGAGTGTTTTGTCTGCGTGTATATGTAAGTATACCCCTGTATGCAATTCCATGAATACCAGAGGAGAATGTCAGAATTCCCTGGAACTGGAATTAAAGATGGTTGTTAACTACCATGTGGGTGCTGGGAACTGAATCCAGGTCCTCTGCAAGAGCAGCCAGTGCTCCTAACTTCTGAGCCATCTCTTCAGCATGCCCCTCCCCAGCCTCCCCCCCTTTAAAAATAATCTTTTTTAAGCTTGAAGTAGAGTTTAGAAAGAAAAACTAACATTTTTTAAACATCTGTATGCTGATATATAGCACTCAAAAGGCAAAAGCAGGTGGATCTTTGTGAGTTCAAGGCCAGCCTGGGCTACAAGGCTACATAGTAAGACCCTGTCTCAAAAAAATCTGTATGGGATACTGGGCTAGTCACTTTGCATAATGACTTATGACTCTGTAGAGAAATCTTGAGGCAACTATTGTATGCCTATTTGTGTTGATTTGTATCAGAGATAAGTACCAGCTAAGGAAATACCTAACCAGCTATATAGCCATTACTTCTCAAAGTTTAGCCTAAATAGCTTAAGTAAGTATTTCTTTTAATTTTTTTTGTAATTTTTGAGACAGGGTCTCCCTGTAGTCCCAGCTGGCTTGGAACTCACTATGTAGACCAGGCTGACCTTGAATTTACAGAGATCCACCTGCCCCTGCCTCCTGAGTGTTGGGATTAAAGGCGTGAGCCACCACACCCAGCCATTTTTCAAGTCTTTTTGTTTGTATATTTATTTGATTTTTGTCTTTGCTGGAAATGGAATCCAGGGCTTTGCACATGCTCAGAAAGTGCTTTGTCACATCCCAAACCTTTGAAATTGTTGCTATATTCAGAGTCAGGAAATGCTTTTTTTCTTCGTTTCCTTTTCCTTGATTTTTGTTGTTTTGAGTCAAGGTATTGCTCTGTGTCTAGGCTGACCGAGAATTCATAGTGCAGCACAGACTGCTTTCTAAGTTGTGAACATCCTCCTGCCTCAGCTTCCCTAATACTGGTATTACAGGCATGAGCCTCTAGATGGAGAGGAGATGCTTTTCTTTTCCTTTTTTCTTTTCTTCTCCTTCCTTCCTTCCCACCTTCCCTCTCTCTTTTTTTTTTTTTTTCCTGGTCTTTTACAGACAGGGTCTCCCTGTAGCCCCAGCTGTCCTAGAACTCACTATGTAGACCAGGCTGGCCTCCAACTCCAGAGATCCGATTGCCTCTGCCTCCCAAGTGCTAGGATTAAAGGTGTATACCACCACGCCCATGCCCTCTCTTCGTAGCAGTAAACATAGATTTATTTAAAGCAGTTTTTATTACCTTTCTTTATTTGCATATGTGTGTATGTATATGGCCACTTTTGTGACACAGTACAAGTGTGGCGGTCAAAGGAAATTTTAGGGAGTCTGTTCTCCCCTTCCACCATATGGGGATGAAAGTTAGGTCATTGGCCTTGGTGGCAAGCACCTTTACCCTCTCTGCTGAGCTATCTCGCCAGTCCAAACATAGATTTATTAAGGAAATGAGTAAGACCATCAGAGAATGGAAAGGACTCCATGGGAGCAGTACCCAGGGAATGCTTTTCTGAATAGGGGAAGGAAATGCTTCCAGAAAGAATTGAGAAAGCACCCCTTATCTTTACATGGTTTTGGCTAGATGTTGACTTAAATAGCCACCCTTCTTTACATACTGAGAAAGTGTCTTTTTTTTTTTTTTTTTAAAGAGGCAGACTGGTAAAAATCAAGGAAAGGGGAATGGCTTAGGTAGCAACCCAGCAGCAGAATGTGCTACCAAACTGGAGCTCAGGATTCATCTCATTAATCTGTCTGGTACCAGCCTCTGCTCGCACTTTGTTCTCTCGTTAATATACTTAGTTTACTTTATCTCTTATAAATACTTGGTATTTATTTGTAATATCTGAGAGTACCAAGGGTTTTGTTTTGTCTTTTGAGACAGTCTCTCTCTGCATCCCAGGCTGTCCTTCAATTCTAAGCAGTCCTCAACCACCTAATACCATGATAACAAGTGTGAGCTACCATACATGGCTTACTAGTGAGTTCTTATCACATGCTTGGTGATAGTCTTGTCTTGACAGGAAGCAGATGTTAGACTTAAATGGTATAATTGAATTGATTTAATAAAGGGATTGTTGACATCTGATCAGGGACAAGGAACTCTGCACAAGAAGTGAAGCATCTCACATCTGTCAGCAGAAAGGAACCTGCCTTTCTATCCCTCAGAAACAAGGGAGTAGTCCAGGAAGTCAAGACAGTAGCTATAGTTGCTGAAAAGTATTTTAGTGGTAGAGTCTAGCCAACGTGCTTGGAATTCGTTTAGAGGAATACATCAGAAATGCCCACCTCACTTCCCCCGTGTCTGATTTCTTCCCGTGCCTTCTGTGGACTGACCTCACCAAGATCTAGAGGGGATGGAAACCCAAAATAGTCCATGTGGAGAAGAAGCTAGACTTCAAAGTAGCAGAAGGAAAGCATTCTGCAGATCTGCAAGATGGAAGAGGACTGGGAATGTGGCTCAGTGGTAGAATGTGTACTTAGACTCTGCCAGTGAGAGAAAGGCTGCAGGTGTGGCTGTGGCTCAGGGGACTGCCTAGCATGAGCAAGGCCCTGGGCTCCATCACCAGCCCTGAAAATAAAATACTTTTCAAAGGAAGAGAGTAAAACAAAGACAGAACAAGAAATAGTGGAGGCAAAGGAGGAACTATTAAGGGAATATGTATACCTCAGACTGTGAAAAGATGCTTAAACTCATTTTTAATTTAGAAAATCAAATCAAAACCATAGTCAAGATAATTTTATACACAAGATTAATAAATAGAATCATTGCTTTGTTTTGGCCAGAATATGAAGCTGCTTACTCACTGCTTTGCTCATGCTTTTTTCTTTTCCTTTTTGCTGTTCTGGGGATGCTAGGCAGGCACTTCACTCTGAGCTTTATGGCCAGCCCTGACTCACTAACACTACAAACACCACAGCTATTTTGGCGAAGACTGTGGAATTGTTAAAACAATTGAATATACACATCCCCTTGACTGGGCTTTCATTCTAGAGCATTTATCCTCATAATACTGCTCCAGGACACTGGTGTCAGAGACATCTTGGTATCATTCATAATAGTCCAGAGAGAAAATAAGTATCCGTCAGCAGTTGAACGGATAAATAGGGTCTGGAATACTCGAGAAGAAAAAAAATTGTAAATTTGAAAGAGGGAAGTTAACAGAACAATATAGTCTTGAATCTGTTTATTGAAGGTAAAACTAAATAACTCAGTGGTTGTCAGCCTCTGTAAGGGAGGGAGAAGGTTACCTGAGAGTTTCTTAGGACCTGTTAAAGTTGAACACTTTGATCTGTGTGTGTGTGTGTGTGTGTGGTGGGGTACATATAATGCTCCCCCCTTGTTTTTTTGAGATGGTATAATGTAGTTCAGACTGGCCTCAAACTCACTCTAATCAAAGCTGGCCTTGAACCCTTGATCCTCCTACCTAGTGCTAGGAGTACAGGTATATGCCACCATACCTGCTTATACTGCTTTATGTATGATAAAAAGTAAGGTGTATGATAGATGGGGGTGCCACAGTGTTATCTTAATTCCATAGTCAGTTGCTTAGCCCAGGTTGTGGGTTTGTTTTGTTTTTGTGTGTTTTTAAAAAAGATTTTTAATTTTTAATTTTGTGTATGTATGTGTATGGGGCAGGGTATGTGCATGTGAGTGCAGGTGCCCAGGGACACCAGAGGTGTTAGATTCACTAGAGCTAGAGTTACAGGTGGTTGTGAACCATCTTCCTTGGGTGCTCTGGAAGAGTAGTACGTGCTCTTAACTGCTGGGTCATCACTAATGGGTTCTGCAACAATTGGCTATTGGTTTATACAGTTTATTTTTGAAAAATGAAAGTTCTTATGGGTATGGGATGCACACTAGTAATTCCAGCACTCTGGAGGAAAGGGTAGGAGGATCACCACAAATTGAGACCAGTGTGGTCTGTCTACATAGAGTTCCAGGCTAGCCAGGGCTACAGAATGAGACTTTATCTCAGAAAACAAACCCAGAAAAGTACAAGTTCTTGGAGTGGACTTAGGTATACGTCAGGCTGGTACAGTGAGTGCCCTTTGGCACATGAACTATGCAATAGATGATGATGGTTTTATTTTTTAAATTTCTTTTGTTATTGAAACACGGTCTTGGGGACTGGAGAGATGGCTTAGTGGTTAAGAGCACTGACTGCACTTGCAGAGGTCCTGGGTTCGATCCCCAGCACCCACATGGTGGCTACGAACCATCCTTAACTCCAGTTCCAGGGGAATCCAAAACCCTCTTCTGACCTCTGCTGCATTGCACGACATGGGTGCACTCATGTGCATGCAGGCAATACACTCATGCACATAAAATAAAAACAATAAACAAAATATGAAAGAAAGGAAGAAAAAAGGAAGGAAAGGAGGGAGGGAAGGAAGGAAGAAAGAAAAGAGAAAGAAAGAAAGAAAAAAGAAAAGAAAAGAAGGTCTTGCCCTATAAGCCCAGACTGACTTTGAGTTCATTGTGTGGCTGAGGATGACGTTGAGCTCCTGGTCTTCTTGTTTCAGCCCCCTGAGTTCTGGGTTATAGTCATATACGTCATATCTGGAAAATCTTTTGTTTGGTTGGGTTGGTTAACTTTTTTGAGACAGTGTCTCTATAGCCCAGGCTGGCCTGGAACTCATGGCAGTTCTTCTGCCTCACACTTCCAAGTGCCAGAATTGTAGGCGAGTGCCACTGTGCCAGGCTTATTTTATTTTTTAAAATACTATATTTCAATCTAGAATTCTGAGAAGCAAAGTTCACTGTACCTGGATGCTTCATAGTTTCTGAGGATTTTTGCTGTGTGAGGAGGAATGTAGGCTGGATTGTGTATTTTGAATATCCATTCTTAGGTTTCTAGTTCTTGTTAAGCATCTCTTGACTCTCTCCTGTTACTTGTGTAGGTTGGAAAGGAGAAAATGCTCAAGGTGAAGATTGTGAAGATTCACCCTTTAGAGAAAGTTGATGAAGAGGCTGCAGAGAAGAAGTCTGATGGGGCCTGTGATTCTCCATCAAGTGATAAAGAGAATTCCAGTCAAATGGCTCAGGACCACCAAAAGAAGGAGACAGTAGTCAAAGAGGATGAAGGCAGGAGAGAGAGTATCAGTATGTATGATGCTAGCCTTCTTAGTGAGCTGAGCCCCTGCACATCTCATTACATAGAAAGCTGGCATTCTCTAGCAACCACTAAAATATCCATAAAGTCATTAGGACTTGAATCCCCCTAAATAATTAAGGCATCCCTGACCAATCAACATGGCGAAGAAAATGGGATTTCCTTTACTCTTGCTTCCATTTTTTTGTTTTTGTTTTTTATTGTCTGGTTTTTGAGATAGGGTCTCACTATGTAGTCCTGGCTACCCTGGAATACTCCATGTATACCAGTCTGGCCTTGAGTTCACAGAGATCACTTGCCTCTAAGAGTGCTGAGATTAAAGGCATGTGCTACCATGCCCAATATTGTGGGGTTTGTTTGTTTGGTTTTTTTTTTTTTCTTGGAAGGCTGGCTCTGAATATGTAGCTGTAGCCCAAGCTGGCCTCAAATTTGGGCTGATCCTCTTGTTTCTGAGTTCTGGAATTACATATGTCTAGCACTACACCCAAAGTTGAAAGTATGTATGTGTGTAAAGAGGAAGGCAATGATCTACATAGGCCAGGCACAGTACAAGCCAGGGTAGTAAGAAGTTTTGTTTTCTGTAATTTAACTCTCTTAGATGGGAGCCACTAGAATTCTGAAATAATGTGCTGTCCAAAAATAATTTTTACTGACCTGGAGACTAACAGTAATGTTTTGAAAATTGAAGAGCTAAACATTGTCCACTAGGAAAAGATCTCTAAGAGTGTTACTACTGAGCTACACTTTCAGCTGCTACCTCCTCTTCCTCCTCCTCCTATTTTTAATATTTTATTTCTTTTATACATATGAGTGTATTGCCTTCATGTGCGTATTTGTACCCATGTCGTGCAGTGTCCGTAGAGATCAGAAGGAAATGATTTCCCTGGAACTGGAGTTATTGATGGTTGTTAGCCACCATATGCATGTTGGGAATTGAACCTGGGTCCTCTACAAAAGCAGCTAGTGCTGTTAACCATTGAACCATCTCTCCAGCCCCTCCTCCTCCTTTTTAAAAATAATCTGAATAAGTAAGAAATTTAACTGGATTAAAATCCTTTTGTCTGCCAAAATGAGTACATAGTGCTTGGGGATATATGATCTGTGATTGCTGGTTGATAGAATAATCTTCGTTGACTGTTGTGTTACTTGAGTTTTTGCCATTCATTCTGTTGTGACCAGATTTTGGGTCTGTGCGGATTGTTTTAGGAGGACTTCTTAGAGTTGTCTGAAGGAAACTGAGACTGCAGCTGGAGCCAGCCCTCTCAATGTTGATACTTTTGTTTCATTTCCTGCTCTGTGTTAGGAATGCTTACACCTTCCATTTCCAGTTTCACTCTTTTTTTGAAACTGAAGTTTTGTAATGTGGACATTCTAATTCCCCAAGGGTGAGAAACATTTTTGTGGGCAGTTGGCTCAGGTTATGTCTTCTAACTTTCCCTGGAGGATCAGATCATTGGCATACCAATGATCTATTATACTATTGAATTAGTGTCTAAAACACTGGCTCCCACGAATCTGAGTCTCAGCTTTGACTTTTTTAGTGTGTTTTTGTCTTAGCTTAAGGGTTAGTTCTTTGGAGCTAATGGTATTGCCAGCATGTGGAAAGGGTGGTGGGCAGGGTATTGAATTAAGATAAGCTTTAAATGTTTACATACATGGTTAGAATTTCTGTAGGAAAGTGACAGAGAAATTCTAATTACCATAGTATTTCTGAATCTGAACTAGTTGGGAAAAAAGGTATTGGGCAAGAACGCTCAGCTTTGTGAGCGTTTTTCTTTTTGTTTTGTTTTTGGTCTTTTTGAGACAGGGTCTCCCTGTAACCTCAGCTGGTCTGGAACTCACTATGTAGACCAGACTGGTCTCCATGTCACAGAGATTGCCTGCCTCTGCCTCCTAAGTGCTGGGATTAAAGGCATATGCTACCTTGCCCAGCTTGTGGAGTTTTCAACTAACCTCTGTCTTTTGATTGGGGAGTTGAAGCCATTAATGTTTAAGGTTATTATTGAAAGATATGTGTTGATTGCTGTCACTTTTATCTGTTTGTGTTCTTAGTCTTATTTTGCACTTCACTAATTATAGCTACATTTTTTTCTGTAACCTCTGGGCTATTCATCTTACCTTCAAGGATAGGCACCACCTTAGAGTGAAGCAGGGTCTCCCAGTAGCCCCAGCTGTCCTGGAACTCACTGTGTAGACCAGGCTGGCCTTGAACTCACAGAGAGATCCGCCTGCCTCTGCCTCCCAAGTGCTGGGACTACAGGCGTGTGCTGCCACACCCAGTAATTTTTTTTTTTTTTAAATGTGTATGAATGTACTGCATGTAAGTGTACCTGTGTTGTGAAATGCCTGGTAGAGGTCAGAAGAGGGCATTGGATCCCCTGTAACTGGAGTTACAGGTGTTTCCTGCCATGGGAGTGCTGAGAACCAAACCCAGGACCTCTGAAAGAGCTGCCAGTGCTCTTAACCACTGAGCCATCTCTCTAGCCCCTGTTCATTTGTCTTTTGAGACAGTGTCTCCCTACATCCCTGGCTGACCTGGAACTCAATATGTAGAACAGACTGGCCTCAATCTCAAAAGAGATCTGCCTGCCTCTGTCTCCGCAAGTGCTAGGATTAAAGGCATTCGCCATCCCCAAACACCCCCCCGCCTTTTTTTTTTTAAATACAGGATTTCTTTTGGCCAAAACTACTCTTGAACTTCTGATTCTCAAACTTCTATCTCACACTGCTAGGATTGTAGGCATGTACCATGGTACTCAGTGATTCTCTTGGGTTCTGTCCTGTTTATTCAAACAAGGATTCTTAAGGTTATCTTCTCTACTTACTGACCAATTGATGCCTTTTCACTGTAAGGTCTGACTTCTGCCTTGCTTTATAGACTTTTTTTTTTTCCTTGCTGATTTTTGGACACTGTCTCATATAGCCCAGCCTAGCTTCAAGCTAGCTGTGTGACTGAGGATGACATTGAACTCAGGACCTTCCTGCCTCTACCTAGAGAATGCTGGGTTACAGGCTCATGTCATCATACTTGGTGTGCTTTATTTGTTGGGGGTGGGGTAGAGGAAAGAGACAGGTTCTCGCTATAGCTGGGACTGCTTGTTACTCTGTAACTCAGATTGGCCTCTCTCTTGAGTTCTGGGATTACAGGTGTATTTCACCATGCCTGGATTAATTTCTGCTTTTCAGTGACTGAAATAGCTCCTAACCAGGTTGTAGATGGCTTCTTAATTACCAGGTACAGAGATTTTATAATGTTTTTTTAGAATTGTTTTACGTTTTTGTTAGATTTAACACTGCTACTCACTGTTACCTTTCACCATGTTTTAAACCATCGCTTATTTTCCTAATAATTGTTTATCTCCTTTTTTTCTCTTTTCTGCCATTTCTTGGATTCCCCCCCCCCATAGGGTACTGTGTCTTTATCTTTCATTCATATTTTTCTCTTTTTAAATGTCCCAGTTATCCCTAGAGTTTAAACTGAATATTTATGCACTGATAGGCTGATGAGTCCCAACTAAACCTAGGTCAGATTTGTAAACCAGGCCAATGGCGCAAGTCTCCAGTATTCAGGAGCTGCTTGTGAAGCTGAGGCAGGAGGGTCACTTGAGCTGAAATCTAGCCTGGGCAACAAAGCAAGAGCCTATCCCCAAACAAATACATCTACTCTAGGCCTGATGATCATGAGGTCATCCCATGGGTACCTGTGATTCAGCACATTTAGAGCTGAGGCAGCCATCTCCCTCTTGTCTCCCAGCCCCCTATCTCACATTCTCTTGCTGGATTAATGACACTGTCTTGACTTTGTCTCTAAGGCAGACATCTTGGGAATTTTGAACATTTCCATATGAGTTTCTCATCGAGGCTGTCTCTTAATTTCTTCTGTGCTTTTTATCCTCCATTCTAGCTCCACATCAAGTATAGAGTTTTCTGATTTGTTTACTTTCAGTCATGCCTCATTTTACTCATCTTCCAGCTGCTGAAAATACTTCCCTTGCCCTAATTGTTTTCACACTAGTGTTTGTTCCAAAATGCACATACCATTAGGACAAAAATATCCTTTGGCCAGGCGTGGTTAAGCATGCCATTAATCTTAGCACTCAAGAAGCAGCGACAGGTGGATCTCTGGGTTCAAGGCTGGCCAGGGCTACATTAGTGGGACCGCGTATCCCCCCCCCCAAAAAAAAATCCTTGTTTGCTTCTCTCATACAACACAAATTCTAGGCTCTTTGAAATTATTCATAATTAGGCTACAGCTTACCTTTCCGTCTTAAAAAAAAAATTTTTTTAATTTTATGTGTAGGAGTATTTTGACTGCATGTTTGTAAGTATACTTGTGTCAGCAATGCCCAAGAATGTCAGAAGAGGGGGTTGACTGGAGTTATGGATGGTTGTTAGCCACCGTGTGGGTGCTAGGAACCAAACCCGAGTCCTCTGCAAGAGCAGCCAGTGCTCTTAACCTCTAAGCTATCTCTCTACCCCCTCAGTCTTAATTTTTGACAAATGCTGTACATTATAGTCACCTATACCTCATTCCTTGCATCCTTTGAAGTCAAACTTCTTTAGGTCTTTCATGCTTGGGACCTGAGTATGCCTTTTCTCTACTTTTCTTTTTTTATGTTAATGGTGTTTACCTCATGGTACTGTCATTATTTACTTACTGAGTCTTCGCATAGATTAGATCCTTGAAGTTTTGAAGTTACTGATACCATAAGTCATCTTTCGGTTACGTTACCCAGTGCTTGGTTTGGTGAGGAATTGAGTAAGGTTATTGTTTGTGAGTGAATGAACAGAATTAAAATAATTAAAATTTTTTATGCTAATTTTCTGTTGACTAGATGACAGAGCACGTAGGTCTCCACGAAAACTTCCTACTTCATTAAAAAAAGGAGAAAGGAAATGGGCTCCTCCAAAATTTCTGCCTCACAAATATGATGTGAAGCTACAAAATGAAGACAAGGTTGGTTAATCTCTTACATGTGGTAGATTTCAAGGTGTTGGGAGGGTGGTTTTCCTGGAGAAAACGGGCTAAGGAAAAATGAACACAGATATCCTTGTCAGATACATTCTAAGTGGTTTTCTAATGATGATTTATTTTTCCCTAGAAGGCAGCATGCCTTGCTTTTATAGAAATTACTAGGATATGTGAATAACTTTGCATTTGAGTGTCTGTTTGAAAACCAGAATCTATTGGCAAGTGAGTTGACTGCTCAGTGCTTCATAAGGATTCTCGTAAAAGTACAAGTAAATATCCTTAGCAAGGCTTAGTGCTAGTTTAGTATTTTTTTTCAGTATTGGGTGTTGGACTCAAGGCCTTTGTATATGCTAACAAATATTCTACACTGAGCTAATTTCCCTAGCCCTTTGATTCTGAGATGTAAAATATTTGTATTTTATATTCTATTCAGTAGACAAGTGCTCTGTTACTGAGATATGCCCCTAGCTCTAGTTTTTATATATTTTTTTAATATGTTAAGATTCAAGCTGTATCTTAAAATCCAATGGCAAGAATTTATTTCCTAGATCTAATCCTAGTAATGAGGGCGGGGGGCGCTGCTGCAAGCAGGAGGATCAGGAGTTCAAGGTCACCCTTAGGCACATAGTGTTTGAGGGCATTCAGGTCTTCATGAAGGCCCTATATGTCAGGGAAAAAAAATTCTTTTTTTGATTTTTTTTTTTTTTCTTTTTTGAGACAGGGTCTCCTTGTAGCCCAAACTGACCTGGACCTGGAACTCACAAAGATCCACCTGCTTCTGCCTCTCAAGTACTGGGAGTAAAGGCATGTACCACCACACCTGGCAAAAAAAAAAAAACAATTATGTTGTGTCAAAATGTTTCATTGATTATGTTTCAGAAGTTCCTACACATACACGAATAGACTCTTGTCTATGTAATTCGACAGAGGAGTAGGATGTGGAAGACAGTTACGCGTTTGTCTTCATAGATAATCTTTCTAACAAGAATAGCTCATTTGGGAGGTTTAATCCTGTGAAAGGTCCTCTATGATAGTCAATGGACCTAGGAGGAATTATAAGCTATTTCTTTTCCTTTTCTCTTTTTTTTTTCTCCATACAGGGTCTCATGTAACCATGCCTGTCTCAAGCTCATAATAATCCTTTTGCCTCTGTCTTCTGAGCACTAGGATTATAGGAGTATGCCACCATGATCATTCATGTGTTGTACTGTTGTCCCCCAACGGGTTTTGGCCACTTAATATTTTATAGTTAGTGACCTGAACTCACATTATTTGATAGGTGGGCTCTCTCTCGCTCTCTCTTTCAATTAGATGTTTATTTAGTTCAGTTTATTGTTTCTTACCTCATTTAATGAGTAGCTAGTTAAAACGGTGGGGAGTCTCATCCCTTTCTTCACTCACTTTCTTAATGATAAGTACAAATTGTTCACAGATCATACACACTAGTTAAAGGAATATAGAAAATGCAGATAAGAAAAAAATACAAGATCTCTTCTCACACACATGATGATGATAATTGGTGAATGTAGATTTTGGTAACTTGTCTTTTTCATTTACTTACAATAAACTTAGTGTCATTCAACTTTATTCAACCACAGTGTGAGATTGTCCTATGTAAAGTATAAAGTAGTCACTAGGGGAATCCATGAACATGGAGATGGCTTAGCTCTGCCTCCTACCCATAAAGTCTGTGATGAAGTACAAGTGGCTGTTTTCCTACCCACCCTCCCCCTTTGTGTTTTTGAGACCAGATCTGGCTGTTATGGCCCAGGCTGGCCATGAACTCCCTATCCTGCTTCAGCTTCCCAAGTACTGAGATTACAGAGAGTGCCTCACCAAGCACAGCGCCTGAGGTGGATCTAATGAATTTGTTCTAATTGAGGGTGGGGTAGTTTTGGTCTTTTTGAGACAGCATCTCCCTGTAGCCCCAGCTGTCCTGGAACTCACTATGTAGACCAGGCTGGCCTAGAACTCAGAGATCTGCCTGCCTCTGCCTTCCAAGTGCTGGGGTACAGGCGTGTGCCACCCTGCCGGCTTTTTTTTTTTTTTTTTTTTAATATCTATTTGAGACAGGGTCTCCCTGAAGCCCCGGATGGCATGGAACTCACTATGTAGACTGGGTTCCTCGAACTCACAGAAATCCTCCTGCCTATGCCTCCCAAGTGCTGGGATTAAAGGTGTGCACCACAATGCTTGGCTCTAATTGAGAAATTTTATGTCTTCATGGCTGTATATCCTACATTCTGTGTATAACTTTAAATTCCAAACATGAATTCCTAAAGGATGGCTCTTTAGGCAATAATCCCTCTTCTATTTTTGCTATTAAAAGCAATGGAAGATGACTTTTTCCAAGATATGGTCATAACTGGAAGAATTACTGTTTTGAACTGTGTGCTCATTTTTAGGATTTACTGACAGATTCCCTAGTTGACATTCTGTCTTTGAAAATGGTTCTGCTTTTTCTTCTATCAAATTTATAGCCTATTTAGATGGAATTTTGTTTGCTTGCTTGCTTGTTTGAGAAGACCTCCATTTTTGTTCTCATTGGTTGATTGCCCCTGATCCCAGTGGTGAACGCTTTCTGATTTTCTTCACTTAGATTATCAGTAATGTACCAGCAGACAGCTTGATTCGCACAGAGCGCCCGCCAAACAAGGAAATAGTGCGATACTTCATTCGGCATAATGCCTTACGTGCTGGGACTGGTGAAAATGCACCTTGGGTGGTAGAAGATGAATTGGTGAAGAAATACTCCCTGCCTAGCAAGTTCAGTGACTTTTTGCTTGATCCATATAAGGTAAGGTCTTGTGCTGGGTATTAAATATTTCTCTCAAACTCCTATTAATGTTTGGACAGTTAGATAAATTCATTTTCTCTAATGACTCCCAATAGAATTAAATTTATGGCAGATTATGAACTTTTAGCAACAACAGATAATTAATTCGAAATTTTTCCAGGTTTATCTGGTTTCATAGGGGTTGTAATGTGCAATTAGAACAGCAAAGTCACAATTAAGTTCCCTTAGTTTAATTTATTATTTTTAAAATTAGACATGCATAAATTTAAAAAGCCATATACATGTACTTTGTTTTGCCCTAAATCCTTATGTGACAAGGTTGTTTTATAGATGCAAAAAGAATTTTGTAAACTAATTAAAAATTGTTTTTATTTTCATGTACTTATCTATTTGTATGTGTGTTGGTGTGCGTGTATCACAGTACCCATGTGAAAATCAAAGAGCACCTGTTGGAGTTGGTTGTCTTCTTTCATCATGTGTCCTAGGGATTGAACTCAGGCTCTCAGGCTTGGTGGCAGGTACCTTAGCCCACTGAACCATCCCATTAGCCCCAGTTTTTTTCCTTGTAATTTTCTTTAAAAGAAAAATTGGGGAGTGGGAACTAGAGAGATGACTCAGCAGTTAAGAGCACTGGCTCTTAATCAGGTTCTGTTCCCTGCATCCACAATCCACATGGCCACTAACACCCTTCCAAAACTCCCCGTTCCAGGGGACCTAAGGCCCTCTTTTGGCCTCTGCATTACATATATGTGTTGTGCTTACATATGTACAGGCAAAACACTCATACACATAAAACAAAAAAAAAAATTTTTTAATCTGCAGGGAGTGGCGCTAGAGAGATAGTTCAGTGGTTAAGAGTATAAGAGTACTGGCTGTTCTTTCAAAGGATCTGATTTCATTTCCCAGCACCCCTGTGGCAGCTAACAACCTTCTATAACTCCAGTTCTAGGGGATCCAATGCCTTCCTGTCTCCGTGGGCACTGTATGCACATGGTGCATTTACATATATGTACATTCATACACTTACAAAAATAATTTTTTTTTTTTAATTTATTTTGAGGGGCTGGAGAGATGGCTCCGCAATTAAGAGCACTGACTGCTCTTACAGAGGACCTGGGTTCTATTCCCAGCACCCACATGGCAGCTATGAACCATCCCTAACTCCAGTTCCAGGGGAATCCGAAGCCCTCTTCTGACCTCCGAGGCATTGCACGACACAGGTGCACTCACATACATGCAGGCAATACATGCATACACAGAAAATAAAATAATGAATAAATGTAGATAAGTGCACCCATGTCATGCAATACCCGCTGAGGACAGAAAAGGCCAACAACAAAAATGAGCTCCATTAGCTTCTATTGTAGCATAATGGGTTTTTCTTTCTTTATTGGTCTTTTTGTGAGACAGGGTCTCCCTGTAGCCCCAGCTGTCCTGGAACTCACTATGTAGACCAGGCTGGCCTTGAACTCACAGAGACCCGCCTGTCTCTGCCTCCCTAGTGCTGGGACTAAAGGTGTGTGCCACCATGCCTGGCTCCCAAATAAAATATTTTTTAAAAAATTTATTTATGCCGGGCTAAAAAATTTGCTTGAAGACAGACTTTTGCCAGGTGGCCTACAACTTGAGGTCACACCTCTTCTTCAGCTTCCCATATGCCACCATGCCCAGGGGTAAATTCATTCTCTTTGTTTTTGTTTTTTGTTTTGGTCTTTTTGAGACAGGGTCTCCCTGTAGCCCCAGCTGTCCTGGAACTCACCATGTAGACCAGACTGGCCTCTACCTCCAAAGTACTGAGATTAAAGGTATGTCCCATCACATCTGGAAGTATATTAATTCTTAAAAATGAAAATTGGAGGGGCTGGAGAGATGGCTCAGTGGGTAAGAGCACTGACTGCTCTTGCAGAGGACCCAGGTTTGAGTCCCAGCACCCACATGGTGGCTACCAATCATCTGTAACTCCAGTTCCAGGGGATCTGACACCCTCTTTTGACCTCCATGGCCTCTGCATGACATGGGTGCACTACCTACATTCAAGCAATATGCCCATATACATTAAATAAAATATTTTTTAAAAAAGAAAACTGGAGCTGGAAATAGTGATTCATTCCTGTCATCTCTACACTAGGGTGACAGAGGCAGGCAGGTCTCAGTTTGAGGCCAGCCTGGTCTACATAGCAAGTTCTAGGCCAGCCAGAGGCTAGCTACAGAGTGAGACCCTATCTGAAAACAGAAAAAGGAAGGCTGACAAGATGACTTGGGGTAAGGCACCCACTGCCAAGCCTGAAGACCTGTGTTCAATTTCCAGGACTCACAGGGTAGAAGGAGAGAACTGACTCGTAAGTTGTCCTCTGACCTCCACATGGATATTGTGGCACATGTACATATGCATGTGCATGCACTATAAATGTACTAATAAAATTTTAAAAAGTAAGACAGACATAGTGGCATACACCTTTAATCCCAACACTTAGGAGACAAGCAGGCAGATCTCTATGAGCCTGGTCTATATAGTGAGTTCCAGGCTAACTGTGGTACAGGGAAACCGCAAAAAATCCCAAAAATTAAAAAGAAAAACTGATTTTGTACATAAGGAAAGATGTTCCGATAGCTTGGTAGCTTTACATAATCTGGAGTATATATTTGTGGAACACATTACCAGAAAACCAGCATTTCTGTTTTGAGAGTAACTACTTTTTTTTTCTCTCTCTCCTCTTATGTCATCCTATTTGCTCTCTAGAGTATTTTCTTGAAATTCTGTGGTGTATGTATTAATCTTATTTTATAGACAGGGAATCATGGGTATGGTTCTTTTTTCCCTTTCTCCCTTTCTCTTCTCTCATTCGCTCTTTCTCTCCATGAATGAGGCTCTGGGTTCAGTATCCAGCACTGCAGAAAAAACCAGAACAAAAACCAGAACCTTCCTAACAAATTTACTGATGAAAGCATATAGAGACTTAGTTAACCTCAGTGAATATTGCCCTCAAACTCCTACAGTGTTGTCTGGAGTGAATGAGAAAGAAGAGCAGAACAGACTAAGGGTGTCATTCATTGGTGGAGCACTTGTCTGTCATGAGAGGCCCTGGGTTCAATCCCTTGAGTAATGAGGAACAAAAAGACTGGAATAAGAATCAGATACTTGGGGGCTAGAGAGAAGGCTCAGCAGTTATGAACACTGGTGGTTCTTGCAGAAGACCCAGGTTTGAATCCCAGCACCCACATGGCAGCTAACAACTGTCTGTAACTCCAGTTCAAGGGGATCCAACAGCCTCTTCTGTCTTCTGCGGGCATTGCATGACACAGGTGCACTTACCTGCATGCAGGCAATACATGCATACACATAAAATAAACATAATAAAATATTTTTAAAAAAAGAATTCTGTC